GGAGAAATGCTTTTTCAAGCAGAAATTGCTTCTATCGAGGAGAAATGATTTTTGAAGCAGAAATGAAAAGAAAAAATTGTTTGAACTAAAATGTCATTCCTTATAAATCAGCAGCATTGCTATCCACATATTATCAGACTGAAACGCAAAGTCATCGGTGTTTACCAGCGCTATTAATTTAACTTTCTTCTTCTCTTCTATTAAAGAAAAGACATGAGAGAATATTTACATTTACAGAATACAGTTAGATCATTGAAAACGTTTTTATTCTTTAAACACAAGATACATAAATTCTTTATCTGATAAAATAAAGATAAGCGAATTCTTTGTTTCTAAACACTACAGACCAATTAAATAATAAAGATAGATTTCTTTTCCTGAAAATCTGTACTTTTATTTCGACATAGATGCCTCCAAAAAGCTGCAGTATCACACATACAAATGAAATATACGCATAAGCTTCTTTTTTTTTTTATTTTGCTTTAAGTGATGGTCCTAGGACACTAACAGAACAAATAGTGAGCAGAAGAGAGCAAGAATTGAGAAAAGGAAAGAGAAATCACATGAAGAACAGGAACATAGAAAGAAGAGAAGAAAAGAAGAAGAGCTACAGCAAAAAATGAAAGACGAACATAATAAAAAAAAATGTCAGAAGGAATCTGGAAATTCCATGAGCGTATAAATATCACATATATCGTAATCAATAAGAGAATGAGAAGAACGATTAGCAGAGCACCACTGTACACATTTCTTCAGAACTATATACGCATAAGCTTTTATGTACACATCTTTTCATATTTCATCCACATGTTTTAACAATATCACATACAAAACTACATTCAATGGAAGGCAAGAAAGTTGATAAACATATCCTGCTCTTATATTAACGATTTATCTATCTTCCTATCACAAACAGAAATCTTTCTTTCTTTTCGAATTCATCTTTCATCTTCAAAAATACACAATTTATTCATCTTTATTCCGACAAAATAAAGATTCCGTTACATTTTATATTTACAAACTAAACATTTCATTTTGTTACACGCACCGCCTTTCACTTGATTCATATTTCACCTAGATCATTTCATCGCTTTTCTTTTCTTTCTTTTCTGATATCATTCATGATTACATTTACTTTTTCTCCTGTTATGCACCCTGGATCATGTCTTTCTTTTCTTCATATATCTCTCACTTCATGTCCCCCGCTCTCTATACATATATATATGTTAAACATATTAAGCGAACCGTGTTATGCGGTGTGGAAGGTTCACCAATCATGTCAATCTATCCATTATTTGTTGTTCTCCATTTTTCTTCAATAAATATTCATTGCAACCCAATTCTCTAATACATTTATCCTTATTTTAGAATTATTAATAATAGATTTCAGTTTTTCCTTCATAAACTATATTTTAAAAAAGTCTCCAATGTACCAATGCTATTTCCATTTATACCAGTCACAGCAGAAAAGCCTGTAATATTTCTTGCATGAAACGCATTCCTTAGGAACCAACTTATTCCTCCTCCTACTTCTTATTAGGCCAGAACGCGTAACACAATTGCTACCTGCTTAAGTCCTTTTTACTTCCACTTGTACAGGTAGAAATCCATAAATAGGGTGTGAGTGTGGGTGTGGGTGTGGGTGGGGTGTGGGTATGGGTGTGGGTGGGGTGTGGGTATGGGTGTGGGTGGGTGGGGTGTGGGTGTGGATGTGGGTGAGGTGTGGGTGTGGGTGAGG